ATCAGAACATACCAATCTTACGCCTCCTCTCTGCCTCTCTAGTCTCGTGAGTCATTCTCACCTTAGCCATCATAATAATACACCCTAAACGGGAACTCGATCTGCGTGAGAATCATGGCCTCATCCCTAACCACGTTTACAGGATTATCAGGTACACATGATTAAATCCCTAATTTATATTTTATGTTTAAGAATTGATCAACATGTGGTATCAGAGCATTATGTTGATAAATCAATTCCTTATTTTTTCTGAACTGTAATCGGAAATCATACACTGTGAAAATTCCTTTTGAATTTTTTTTCTTCCGATCTGGATTATCAGTGATGTCTCCATAATAATCCACTTGTGGATTTACTTTCTCAGCACAAAACGGAATCACAATTGTTTTACTTCGATCAAAGTTAAAACAATTTTTTTTTGTGATTTGCATTGAAAACAAATCAGTATTATTTTTTCTCCCTCTTTTCGGTTAAAACAAACTCCAATTGAATTGTTTTAATCTCACCGGAAAAAAAAACAGATTTGTTTTTCCAAATCTCAACTAACTGTTTCTTGATCTCCTAAAGTGAAATCAACTTTTTTTTTAATTGGATTACCCAGTAAATATATACCTAGTAAACCATCCATGTTCTTCATCCTTATTTTGATGAAATTATCTTATTTTAGTAGTTGATTTGGAGTATAATTGTGTTTCCTTAAATTATATGGCATATCTCACTTTTGCATAATATATTCTGTTTCCTTATTTATTAATTTATTTTACTCAGAATAGCAAAACTAAGTAAGGAATATGCTAAAATACCATTTTAAAAAAAAATTAAAATGTTTACTTGTTGGAAAATCTCTTGCCTTATATGCCTTTTGATTTTCTAATTAAATTAATCTTAATGGGTCCTCAATTTTTCGTAGCCCCGCACCAAACCGCTTTAACTTTTGCGGCTAATTAATTATTAACAATAAATTATAAATCATTTGACTAATCTTAAATAAAATTTATTTTTTATGATTAGTTAAATTGATTTATTTTGCTTGACTTGAATAATACCTCAGATTACACTTCTGCCCAACGGTGATGTGTAATATTTGTAAAATTTATTTCAAGTCTTATTAATCATTGTCATTTAGTACATATCCTTAAATAGATATTTACATGACATTCGCCTTAAATACATAATATTTCACTTCTGTCCAAAGATGATGTGTTATAATTGTGTACTGCGAACTAAATATATATGTGCATTCAAATTTAAATGTTTCACTTCTGCCCAAAGGTGATGTGTTACATTCAAATTGCACATCATTATTTTATTATTCATAATGCTTAAATAAGTGGTTATAACCAAAGTGAAAGCCACTTGTTTGAGTAGAATTAAATTTAGTCTATTATTTTTGGTGTTATAATAGACTCTTATCACAGCTTCATTACTATATAATGGTCCTTAACTTCGCCAGCCTTAGTTCATTACCCCTTAAGTTCTTCTTTAAATTATGTGTCTTATTTCTCTCATCTGAATCCACTATCAGCCCCAAATATGAGAATTGAAACCTTGAACGGTGCGAATTTTTCTTCATGGAAAGATTCACTGATGCTAACTCTTGGCATGTTGGATTTTGATTATGCACTGAGAGAGCCTGCCCCTCCTGCCCTCACTGATAAAAGTACTGCTGAAGATAAAATAGTACATGAGAGATGGGAGAGGTGCAACAGAATGGCTCTTACGCTCATTAAAAAATTCCATCATCATAATCATCAGGGGAGCTATTCCAGATTCATCTAATGCTAAAACATATCTGGCTTCCGTGGAGGAACAATTCAAGGCAACTTCTAAGGCACATGCTAGTACTCTTATTTTGAAGATGGTGACTACAAAATATGACTGGAATAGCGGCATTCGTGAGCACATCATGATGATGAACGACATGGCCCGTAAGCTCAAGGGATTAGACATGGAGATCAGTGAAGGTTTTCTGGTGCACTTTATAATGACTTCTCTTCCTGCATCTTTTGAAGCTTTCAAGGTCAACTACAACACCCAGAAGGTCAAGTGGTCGATGAATGAGTTGATTGCTATGTGCGTACAAGAAGAAGAGCGTCTGAAG